AAATTCTAATAGCAGCTTTAGTTTTTTAAGTTGAGAAAAAAAATGGAGGTGAAAGGAGTAAGGGTTAAGGTTCTTGGGAGGGGATCGTATGGGGCTGTACATTTGGTCCAAACGATAGGTCATGTTCCTCAATTTTATGCCGTGAAATCTGCTGATGAGACAATGTCGTCGTCTTTACGAAAGGAATATCAAATCCTTCAACAGTTTATCGCTTGCCCCAATATTGTTCGGTGCTTTGGTGCTTTCACCAGCGTTCGACGGGGTGGTCAAGGAAATGTTTTCAACCTGTTTCTTGAATATGCTTCAGAAGGCAGCCTGTTGGATTTGATGACAGAGTATGGAGGTAAAATACCTGAACGGGATGTTAAGTGCTATGCAAGGATGATAGTGGAAGGGCTGGTCGACGTTCACAAGAAAGGATACATTCATTCTGATCTCAAACCAGGTAACATTCTGGTTTTTCCTCCTCAAGATAGTATTGGCTTGAATACTTTAAAGATTGCGGATTTTGGGTTAGTTAAACAATATGGGGTAGAAGATAAAAGGATTTGGGAATATGGGTTTCGAGGCACAGCAATTTATATGTCTCCTGAATCTGTCATTGGAGAAGTTACTGGAGCATTGGATATATGGTCACTCGGCTGCATCATCGTTGAGATGATTACGGGGAAATTGCCATGGGTTTTTCGTAACTTGAAGGATTTGAGAGACAAGCTTTTGAGGGGGGAAACACCTCAAATCCCAGAAAACATGTCGAGTATGGGGAAGAATTTCTTAATCAAGTGTTTTGCTAGGGACCCAAACCAGAGGTGGACAGCTAGAAAGCTGTTAAGCCACCGTTTTCTTCTCGCAGAGCACTCCATATTTCCAGTTGCAAGAAGTTACAACTCATCCCTTTCTTCAACAAATTTTCAAGAGAAGAAACTATTCCAATCTCCCAAAGGTTTCTTGAGGTATAACTTATTCCCACCTGCTGGAAGAAGAGATTTTCTTGAGGACGTAAGGGTGCAGTTAATGAAGACCAGTCTGTGTCAGCGCGAAGAGGAAAGAAGACTTGTGAAGTTGGGCGTGTAGTGCGAAAGGTTTCAAAGCCATAACTAACTTGAGACCACAAAGTTTGAGGCTACCATGGAAAAAAATTAATATTTTGTTTATTTTGCTAGCTTTTTCTTGGATTTAAGTCCGGAAAAAAATGTAATGATCTCTTTTTCTTCCAATAATTCGATATAACTTTGAAATCTATGAAGTTTTTTTGACATATTATAGTACTTTCTTTATTATTTGGAGCACTTTAATTTAAGGGAGGGTGCATATTGTTAAACCCTTAGTACAAAGTTTTTTTTTTTTTAATTTTTCCCTAAAAATAATTCTCATGATTTTGGTAAGTGATATATTTTCAAGATATAATTTCATGTAGAAACCCAAATTCAATATGGGTTGCCAAATATAAATTATGATTAAATGACCAAACTTTTTTGGTTTGATTTAAATTATATAAATTATTGATCACCGAATAATAATAAGGGTGAAATAATGTAAAAATTTTAAACTTTAATTTTTTTTTTCAAAATTTCACAAAAAGTTGCTTCTTTTGGATGCTTAATGAAAAAACATCGATGGGCACAATACATGGATTTTGTTTTGGTAACAAATTGATTGAAACAAATGTTTTAGATACAACCGGGTTATAATAGTTCAAATAGGATCTTATTGATTCTATATTTTTATAATGCATAAAATTATAAATTTTTAAATTTGATTCAAATCTGTATTATTTTTTTTAATTGATTCGATTTAAATTGAATTCTATCAATTCAATATGATTTGATTAGATTAATTGGTTTTTACTTCAAAATAATTATTTTTATTTTAAAAAAATTTAAAAAATATATAAATTAACAAAAAATATAATTTTATTTGATTCGAATACTTTTTATTTTCACTTTTTAATTTGAAATCGACTCTGAACTTAATAAAAGTATTTAATATATAAACTTAAATCAAGTCAAACAAAAAATTAATCCAAATCAAATCAAACATTATAATTTCATAACAATTTTCTCCATTTTTTTTCTCAATCCCTACCTGTATGTTTTAAATCTAAACAAGCTTTTAATTGTATCTTCTTTTTCTTTTTTTTTAAGATTTAACAATATCCAAATTATGTTGTTTAATATATATATATATATATATATATATTTTGAAATGGAGATTATGATGCAGTAGATTATCTTTTAAACATGAAAAAATAGAAATTATACTACTGTTTTCACTAAATCTAGATATAAAATCTAATTATTAAACCCTTTACATTATACATTATGTAATTATATAAGCAAATAATTCATTTTATTTAATAAATAATAAATAATTAAATATTACAAATATGAATGTGTATGAATATTAAAAACAAAGTGAGCAACAAATTTGTTGCAAATGTATTTTAAATATGATCGAGAGAAAAACATAGGGGGAAAACTGATTTCAATAAATATTAAATAAATAGTTATTCAAAATTGTTACAAGTAAAGGTAAATTCTTCTATTATGCTTAATAACACAACTTTTATACAACACTAATGGTAGCTTTGTTTTGGTTACCACTCAAAAAGGATTTATGAACTAGAAAAATTATATTATTTTGAGAGGTTTTAGCAACTAATTTCAATTCTACATCAGAGGGTTCCACACATGTACCGCTCCGTCGCTCATGCCTAGCGCAATCTGGTTAGGCTCGGTTGGATGAGCTGCTATGACCACTGCATACGCGCTGTTGCTGCTGCAGAAAGTTTTTGTCGATGAAGCTGAAGTTGTACTGCCTTTTACCGTTGTATGTCGAAATATTTAAATTTCCGTGTAAAATTTTCAAATGTTCATCCCTCTTACCTGGCTGACAAAGAAGATATGTAAGCAGAAGGTGCTATTTCGGCATCTCACCCTCAAGTTGTCCGAATAATATGTAAGATTAAGGGTATAAAAAATATATTAATACTCATAAGTTATTTGGATTTAATTCGGATAAAACTCAAATTTGACTAGATCATTGTCAAGTTGAGTTTGAGTAATTTGATTTATTAAGCGAGTCGAATTCGAGTTTTCTAATGTTTGGTTCGAGTAATTAATAGGTTTAATCGAGTTTTTATATTTTAATAAATGTTTTAATTATTTTAATTAAAAAACTACTATTTTATCTTTATATATATGAATTTGAATTGAAATTTAAGTTCGAATATAAATAATCGAGTTTGAAGTCTAGTATAGTATTTGAGATTTTTTTTTTTTTAATTTGATAAACGAGCTTAATCGAATAAGTTCGAGTAGTTTAATTTTTATATCAAATCATGATCTTAAAATTTATAATTCGATCAAGTTTGAGTTGAGTTTTAAGAAGTAAATTCTAAGTTGAGCTCAAGTTTCTCATTTTATCAACTCGGCTTAACTCGATTACATCCTTATGTAAAGCTAAGTATATGGTTAATTTTATTTAAAAAAAATAATAGAAAGAAAAGAAAAAGATAGAAAATGAATAAGAGAAAAGCAAACAATATAAAATCAACCAAATAGAATTTAGAGTTTTGATGTAATGCAATTTTTATGTTTATAATACAATATATTAAAGCTATTCAAAGGAATTTTAGAACTCAATTTTTTAGTAAGATCGGATAGGACAATAATGTTAATTTGAGGGGTAATTTTGGTAGTAGATATATTTATTAAGGTTAAATTTGATTTTTTGTTCATAAGTTTGTGGTTAATTAAGTCATGATACATTTTTTTTAAAAAAATTTTCACTTTGCTATCAGCTAAAATTTTTTTGTTTAGCATTTATGTTAAAAAAGTTAAAAGAATAGGAAGAGAAAAAGTTTAACCTTCTATGTAAGGGTGTAAACGAATGGAATATAAACAAATGAAGATATGTCCTTAATTTGTTTTTTTTTTTATTTTTAGAGTTGTTTGAGTTTATTTCATATTTGATAAAAAATTATTTTATTTGTTTGAATTTGATTTGTTTAAATGATAAGAATTCGATTTGATTTATGTTCAGCTTGATTAAATTAAATGAAGTCGTGTCATATAAAAAAATGCATTCAATAATATGTGAAGCATTGCTTTAATTTATGGGTTTGTTAAGGAATGTTTGAGGTATTCATTAAGATTATCATATTAAAAAATTTTTTAATATTTCTTTTCAATGCATTGAAACTATCACATAAATTATCTATACTAAACTAAATTAAAAGAATATCTTTAGGATTTTTATGTGACACTAATTCAATATTGGTAAATTATCATTGTACCTTTATTCGTCAATTTTATTTTTAATTATTTTACTTTATTGTTTGTCTTATTTTATTTTTATTTAATTATTTCTTTATTTTTAATTTAGTTTAATTTGTTATTTATTTAAATTTAAAAATTAGGATAGATTTTAAAACTGAAAAAATGTACTAAAATTTTGAAAATAAATTAAAAATTATTCAAATGATGAAATTTTTAATAATCACAAACAACTGAAATTCTAAAAAAATTTATATGAGATGTTTTTTAAAATTTTACCCAAATTATGGAAAATTTTAGAAAAAAAATTTAGTAATGACAATTGACATTAATTTTTCAGCAAAAAAATAAAATGTATTAAAATTTTGAAAAAAAATAAAAGCTATTTCAAAGATGATAAAATTTTGAAAATAAATAACAAATATTGCAAAAAAAAAAGACTAATTTATAGGAATATAGTTTTCTTGTTATCTAAGATATATAATTATGTGTATAACTAAATAGAAGAAGATGATTAATAATTAAAATAAATCACAATCAAGATCTAACCGTCTAAGGGTATATTTGTGATATATTACAACGGAATTATTTCTACTTCTTTTGCAAGAAATCAAATCCTTTGGCAGAGGAACCAGTAAACCGACTTAATAACTTGTATATGTATTGAAGTTCAAAGTTTCCCAAATTCTAATAGCAGCTTTAGTTTTTCACGTCGAAAAAAAAATGGAGGTGAAAGGAGTAAGGGTTAAGGTTCTGGGGAGGGGATCGTATGGGGTTGTACATTTGGTCCAAACAGTAGGTTATGTTCCTCAGTTTTATGCTGTTAAATCTGCTGATGAGACAATATCGTCGTCTCTACGAAAGGAACATCAGATCCTTCAACAGTTTATCGGTTGCCCCAACATTGTTCGGTGCTTTGGTGCTTTCACCAGCGTTCGAAGGGGTGGTCAAGGAAACGTTTTCAACCTGTTTCTTGAATATGCTTCAGGAGGCAGCCTGTTGGATTTGATGAGGGATTATGGAGGTAAAATACCTGAACGAGATGTTAAGTGCTATGCAAGGATGATACTGGAAGGGCTGGTCGACATTCACAAGAAAGGATGCATTCATTCTGATCTCAAGCCAGGTAACATTCTGGTTTTTCCTCCTCAAGATAGTATTGGCTTGAATACTTTAAAGATTGCGGATTTTGGGTTAGTTAAACAATATGGGGTAGAAGATAAAAGGATTTGGGAATATGGGTTTTGGGGCACAGCAATTTATATGTCTCCTGAATCTGTCATTGGAGAAGTTACTGGAGCATTGGATATATGGTCACTCGGCTGCATCATCGTTGATATTATACTTCACGAAAATGAAGCTAACAGGAATGAAAATTAATTAATTTAGGAGATAATCAAGCAAGCATATTTCTTTGGAATTCATTTTTCCATTTATAAAAAAAAGAAACACCAGTTAATAAACATTAGACGAATAATCAATCTAAAATTTAATTTTTATTCATACAATCATCTTTAAGAAACATACAATAAATTTAAAATATAAATTCTAACTATTAAAACCTCTTTCATAACTATATATATATAAAAGCTAATAATTCATCTTCTCATTTACCAATGAAATGAAGTTACATAATTTAATCATTCACCAAAGTATCTGAATGTGTAATGGTAAAGGGTAGAGTGAGCGAGAGTGCTAATTGCCTGGAGAAGTGTGCTTGTAAAATAACATGGGGAGACAGCTAAACAGGCTAAGTGGGAAAAAGATTTACAATGAATATTAAATAACATGCAGTTGATTCAACACAATGGATTACAAAGTAAAGTGGATAAATGTCTCTCTCTATATATGCTTGTGGTAACATCTGTTTTATATACACCATCACCTAGAAGGTAGCTCTGTTGGTTGACCACTCAAGGAAGTATTTGATGAACTAGAAGAAAGGGATCCATTATCTTGTGAGGGTTTAGCACCCCATTTCAATTCCACATCAGAGGGTTCCACCACATGTACCGCTCCGTCGCTCATGCCTAGCGCAATCTGGTTAGGCTTGGTTGGATGAGCAGCTATGACCACTGCATACGCGCTGTTGCTGCTGCAGAAAGTTTTTATCAATGACGGTGAAGTTGTACTGCCTTTTACGGTTGTATGTCGAAATATTTAAATTTCCGTGTAAAATTTTCAAATGTTCATCCCTCTCACGTGACTGACAAAGAAGGTATGTAAGCAGAAGGTGCTATTCGACATCTCACCCTCAAGTTATCCGAATAATATGTAGGATTAAGGGTATAAAAGATATATTAATATTCATAAGTTATTTGGATTCGACTCAAATAAAACTCAAATTTAATTCGATCATTGTCAAATTGAGTTCAAGCAACTTAACTTATTAAGTGAATCGAGTTTGAGTTTTCTAACATTTGGTTCGAGCAATTCATAGGCTTAATCTAATTTTTTTATTTGAATATATATTTTAATAATTTTAATTAAAAAACTACTATTTTATCTTTATATGTATGAATTTGAGTTCGAATATAAATAATTGAGTTTGAAGTCTAGTATGGTAATCCAACTCTTTTTTTTTTTTAATTTGATAAACGAGCTTAATTGAATAAGTTCGAGTAGTTTAAGTTTTATATTAAATTGTGATCTTAAAATTTACAACTTGATCAAGTTCGAGTTAAGTTTTATGTAGTGAATTCTGAGTCAAGTTCAAGTTTTATCATTTTATCGACTTAGCTCAACTCGATTACATTCTTATGTAAGACTAAGTATATGGTTAATTTTGTTTTAAAAAAATAATAGAGAGAAAAGCAAACAATATAAAATAAACTAAATAGAATTTAAAGTTTTGATGTAATGCAATTTTTATGTTGATAATACATTTATTAAAACTATTCCAAGGAATTTTAGAACTCAATTTTCAATCGGATAGGATAGGACATTAAAGTTAATTTGAGGGGTAATTTTGGTAGTGGTTATATTTATTAAGGTTAAATTTGATTTTTGGTTCATAAGTTTGTGGTTAATTAAGTCATGATACATTTTTTAAAAAAATTTTCACATTGCTAAGGCTAAAACTTTTTTGTTTGCCATTTATGTTGAAAAAAAAATTAAAGAATAGGAAGGGGAAAGAGTTTAATAGTGTAAACAAATTGAATATAATCGAATGGAGATATTTCCTTAATTTGTTATTTTATTTTTAGAATTGTTTGAATTTATTTCATATTTGATAAAAAAAGTTATTCTATTTGTTTGAACTTGATTTATTTAAATGATAAGATGTTCATGTTTGATTTTTATTTGACGTGATTAAATTAAATGAACTCGTGTAATATAAAAGAAAAATGCATTCAATAATATGTGAAGCATTGCTTTAATTTATAGGTTTGTTAAGGAATGCTTGGGGTACTCATTAAGATTATCATATTAAAAAAATTTTTAATATTTCTTTTCAATGCATTGAAACTATCACATAAATTATCTATACTAAATTAGATTAAAATAATCCCTTATGGATTTTTATGTGACGCTTTTTCAATATTGATAAATTATCATTGTACCTTTATTTGTCAATTTTATTTTTAATTATTTTACATTATTTGTTTGTTTTATTTTATTTTTATTTAATTATTTTTAATTTATTTTAATATGTTATTTATTTAAATTTAAAAATTAGGATAGATTTTGATTAGTAAAAAAAAATAATTTTAAAACTGAAAAAATGTATTAAAATTTTGAAAATAAATAAAAAATTATTCAAATGATGAAATATTTAATAATCACAAACAACTGAAATTCTAAAAAAATTTTATATGAGATGTTTTGTAAAATTTTACCCAAATTACGGAAAATTTTAGAAAAAAAATTTAGTAATGACAATTGACATTAATTTTTCAGCAAAAAAAATAAAATGTATTAAAATTTTGAAAAAAAATTAAAAACTGTTTCAAAGATGATAAAATTTTGAAAATAAATAACAAATATTGCAAAAAAAAATTAATTTATAGAAATATAGTTTTCTTGTTATCTAAGATATATAATTATGTGTATAACTAAATAGAAGATGATGATTAATAATTAAAATAAGTCACAATCAAGATCTAACCGTCAAGGATATATTTGTGATATATTACAACGGAATTATTTTTACTTCTTTTGCAAGAAATCAAATCCTTTGGCAGAGGAACTAGTAAACCGACTTAATAACTTCTATATGTATTGAAGTTCAAAGTTTCCTAATTTCTAATAGCAGCTTTAGTTTTTTAAGTTGAGAAAAAAAAAATGGAGGTGAAAGGAGTAAGGGTTAAGGTTCTTGGGAGGGGATCGTATGGGGCTGTACATTTGGTCCAAACGATAGGTCATGTTCCTCGATTTTATGCCGTGAAATCTGCTGATGAGACAATGTCGTCGTCTTTACGAAAGGAATATCAAATCCTTCAACAGTTTATCGCTTGCCCCAATATTGTTCGGTGCTTTGGTGCTTTCACCAGCGTTCGACCGGGCGGTCAAGGAAACGTTTTCAACCTGTTTCTTGAATATGCTTCAGGAGGCAGCCTGTTGGATTTGATGAGAGAGTACGGAGGTAAAATACCTGAACGAGATGTTAAGTGCTATGCAAGGATGATACTGGAAGGGCTGGTCGACATTCACAAGAAAGGATACATTCATTCTGATCTCAAACCAGGTAACATTCTGGTTTTTCCTCCTCAAGATAGTATTGGCTTGAATACTTTAAAGATTGCGGATTTTGGGTTAGTTAAACAATATGGGGTAGAAGATAAAAGGATTTGGGAATATGGGTTTCGAGGCACAGCAATTTATATGTCTCCTGAATCTGTCATTGGGGAAGGTTACTGGAGCATTGGATATATGGTCACTAGGCTGCATCATTGTTGAGATGATTACGGGGAAATTGCCATGGGTTTTTCGTAACTTGAAGGATTTGAGAGACAAGCTTTTGAGGGGGGAAACACCTCAAATCCCAGAAAACATGTCGAGTATGGGGAAGAATTTCTTAATGAAGTGTTTTGCTAGGGACCCAAACCAGAGGTGGACAGCTAGAAAGCTGTTAAGCCACCGTTATCTTCTCCCAGAACACACCATATTTCCAGTTGCAAGAAGTTACAACTCATCCCTTTCTTCAACAAATTTTCAAGAGAAGAAACTATTCCAATCTCCCAAAGGTTTCTTGAGCTATAACTTATTCCCACCTGCTGGAAGAAGAGATTTTCTTGAGGACGTAAGGGTGCAGTTAATGAAGACCAGTCTGTGCCAGCGCGAAGAGGAAAGAAGACTTGTGAAGTTGGGCGTGTAGTGCGAAAGGTTTCAATGCCCTAACCAACCTGAGACCACAAAGTTTGAGGCTACCATGGAAAAAAATTAATATTTTGTTTATTTTGCTAGTTTTTTCTTGGATTTAAGTTCGCAAAAAAATGTAATGATCTCTTTTTCTTCCAATAATTCGATATAACTTTGAAACCTATGAAATTTTTTTGACATATATAGTACTTTCTTTATTATTTGGAGCACTTTAATTTTCTAATCTAAATGAGTTATCATGGAAATTAAGGGAGGGTGCATATTGTAAAACACTTACTACATAGTTGTTTTTTTTTTTTTAAAATAATTCTCGTGATTTTGATAAGTGATATATTTTTAAAATATAATTTCATGTAAAAACCCAAATTCAATATGGGTTGCCGAATACAAATTACGATTAAATTACCAAACTTCTTTGGTTTGATTTAAATTATATAAATTATTGAACACCGAATAATAATAGGGCCAAATAATCTAAAAATTTTAAACTTTCACCTTTTTTAAAAAAAAAAATTCACAAAAAGTTGCTTCTTCTGGATGCTTAATGAAAAAACATGGATAGGCACAATACATGGATTTTGTTTTGGTGACAAATTGAATGAAACTGATGTTTTAGATACATCCAAGCTATAATTGTTCAAATAGGATCTTATTGATTCTATTTTTTTGAAATACATAATATTATAAATTTTTAAATTTAATTCAAATCTATATGATTTTTTTTAATCAATCCATTTAAATTGAATTCTATCAATTCAATACGATTTGATTAGATTAATTGGTTTTTACTTCAAAATAATTATTTTTATTTTTTAAAAATTTAAAATATATATAAATGAACTAAAATAGATAATTTTATTTTATTAGAATACTTTTTATTTTCACTTTTTAATTTGAAATCCATTCTGAACTTAATAAAAGTATTTAATATATAAACTTAAATAAAGTCGAATAAAAAACTAATCCAAATCAAATTAAACATTATAATTTCATAACAATTTCCTTGATTTTTTTTCTCAATCCCTACCTATATGTTTTAAGTCTAAACAAGCTTTTAACCGTATCTTCATTTTTTTGTTTTTCAAGATTTAACAATATCCAAATTATGTTGTTTAATATATATATATATATATATATATATATATTGAAATGGAAATTATGATGCAGTAGATTATCTTTTAAACATGAAAGAATAGAAATTATAGTCTGTCTTTCCACTAAATCTAAAATATAAATTCTAACTATTGAAACCTCTTTCATAAATATATATATATATATATAAAAGCAAATAATTCATCTTCTCATTTACCAATGAAATATTAAATAACATGTAGTTGATTCAACGCAATTGATTACAAAGTAAAGAGGATAAATGTCTCTCCATATATGCTTGTGGTAACATCTACTTTATATACACCATCACCTAGCAGGTAGCTGTGTTGGTTGACCACTCAAGGAAGGATTTGATGAACTAGAAGGAAGGGATCCATTATCTTGTAAGGGTTTAGCACCCCATTTCAATTCTACATCATAGGGTTCCAACACATGTACCGCTCCGTCGCTCATGCCCAGCTCAATCTGGTTAGGCTCGGTTGGATGAGCGGCTATGACCACTGCATACGCGCTGTTACTGTTGCAGAAAGTTTTTGTCAATGAAGGTGAAGTTGTACTGCCTTTTACGGTTGTATGTCGAAATATTTAAATTTCCATGTAAAATTTTCGAATGTTCATCCCTCTCACCTGACTGACAAAAAAAGTATGTAAGCAAAAGGTGCTATTCGATATCTCACCCTCAAGTTATCTGAATAATATGTAGGATTAAGGGTATAAAAGTTATATTAATACTCATAAATTATTTAGATTCGATTCGGATAAAACTTAAATTTGATTCGATCATTGTTAAGTTGAGTTCGAGCAATTTGACTTATTGAGCGAGTCGAGTTCAAGTTTTTTAACATTCGGTTTGAGTAATTAATAGGTTTAATCGAGTTTTTATATTTTAATATATATTTTAATTATTTTAATTAAAAACTACTGTTTTATCTTTATATATATAAATTTGAATTCGAATTTGAGTTCGAATATAAATAATCAAGTTTGAAGTCTAGTATGGTAATTGAGTTCTTTTTTTTTTTAATTTGATAAATGAGTTTAATCAAGTAAGTTCAATTAGTTTGACTTTTATATCAAATCATAATCTTAAAATTTACAATTCAATCGAGTTCGAATTGAGTTTTAAGTAGTGAATTCTAAGTCAAGCTCAAGTTTCTCATTTTATCAACTCGACTCGACTCGATTACATCCTTACGTAAGACTAAGTGTATGGTTAATTTTAAAAAATAAATAGAGAGAAAAGTAAAAGAAAAAAATGAATTAAATAGAGAAAAGCAAACAATATAAACTCAACCAAATAGAATTTAGAGTTTTGATGTAATGCACAATTTTTATGTTGACAATACATTATATTAAAGCTATTCCAAGGAATTTTAGAACTCAATTTTCAGTCGAATGGGATAGGACATTAACGTTAATTTGAGGTGTAATTTTGGTACTAGTTATATTTATTAAGGTTAAATTTGATTTTTGGTTCATAAGTTTGTGGTTAATTAAGTCATGATACATTTTTTTAAAAAAAATTTTCACTTTGCTAACGGCTAAAACTTTTTCGTTTGGCATTTATGTTAAAAAAAATTAAAAGAATAGGGAGAGAAAAGAGTTTAACCTTCTATGTAAGAGTGTAAACAAATCGAATATGAACAAAATGAGATATGTCTTTAATTTGTTCCTTTATTTTTAAAGTTATTTGATTTTATTTCATGTTTGATAAGAAAATTATTCTATTCGTTTGAACTTGATTTGTTTAAATGATAGGATATTTGAGTTTAATTTATGTTCGGTTTGATTAAATTAAATGAACTTGTGTAATATAAAAAAATACATTCAATAAAATGTGAAGCATTGCTTTAATTTATAGGTTTGTTAAGGAATGCTTGGGGTATTCATTAAGATTATCATATTAAAAAATATTTTAATATAATTTTTCAATGCATTGAAACTATCACATAAATTATTGAAACTACACTAAATTAAAAGAATCCCTTAAGGATTTTTATGTGACACTTATTCAAAATTGGTAAATTATCATTGTACCTTAATTCGTCAATTTTACTTTTAATTATTTTACTTTATTTGTTTGTTTTATTTTATTTTTATTTAATTATTTCTTTATTGTTAATTTATTTTAATTTTTTATTTATTGAAATTTAAAAATTAGGATAGATTTTGATTAGTAAAAAAATGATAATTTTAAATTTGAAAAAATGTATTAAAATTTTGAAAATAAATAAAAAATATTCCAATGATGAAATTTTTAATAATCACAAATAATTAAATTTTAAATGAGATGTTTTTTAAAATTTTATCCAAATTATGGAAAATTTTAGAAAAAAAATTTAGTTATGATAATTGATATTAATTTTTCAGCAAAAAATAAAATGTATTAAAATTTTGAAAAAAAAATAAAAACTATTTCAAAGATGATAAAATTTTGAAAATAAATAAAACATATTGCCAAAAGAAAAAGAAATTCATAGAAATATAGTTTTCTTGTGATCTAAGATATATAATTATATGTACAACTAAATAAAAGAAGATGATTAATAATTAAAATAAATCATAATCAAGGTCTAACCGTCTGAGGGTATATTTATGATATAAAAGAACGGTATTATTTCTACTTCTTTTGCAAGAAATCAAATCCTTTGGCAGAGGAACCAGTAAACCGACTTAATAACTTGTATATGTATTGAAGTTCAAAGTTTCCCAAATTCTAATAGCAGCATTAGTTTTTCAAGTCAAAAAAAAAAAAAAATGGAGGTGAAAGGAGTAAGGGTTAAGGTTCTGGGGAGGGGATCGTATGGGGTTGTACATTTGGTCCAAACAGTAGGTTATGTTCCTCAGTTTTATGCTGTTAAATCTGCTGATGAGACAATATCGTCGTCTCTACGAAAGGAACATCAGATCCTTCAACAGTTTATCGGTTGCCCCAACATTGTTCGGTGCTTTGACCCAGCGTTCGAAGGGGTGGTCAAGGAAACGTTTTCAACCTGTTTCTTGAATATGCTTCAGGAGGCAGCCTGTTGGATTTGATGAGGGAGTATGGAGGTAAAATACCTGAACGAGATGTTAAGTGCTATGCAAGGATGATACTGGAAGGGCTGGTCGACATTCACAAGAAAGGATGCATTCATTCTGATCTCAAGCCAGGTAACATTCTGGTTTTTCCTCCTCAAGATAGTATTGGCTTGAATACTTTAAAGATTGCGGATTTTGGGTTAGTTAAACAATATGGGGTAGAAGATAAAAGGATTTGGGAATATGGTTTTCGAGGCACAGCAATTTATGTCTCCTGAATCTGTCATTGGAGAAGTTACTGGAGCATTGGATATATGGTCACTCGGCTGCATCATCGTTGAGATTATACTTCACGAAAATGAAGCTAACAGGAATGAAAATTAATTAATTTAGGAGATAATCAAGCAAGCATATTTCTTTGGAATTCATTTTTCTTAAATCATTTTTCCATTTATAAAAAAAGAAACACCAGTTAATAAACATTAGACGAATAATCAATCTAAAATTTAATTTTTACTCATACAATCATCTTTAAGAAATATACAATAAATTTAAAATATAAATTCTAACTATTAAAACCTCTTTCATAAATATATATATATATATAAAAGCTAATAATTCATCTTCTCATTTACCAATGAAATGAAGTTACATAATTTAATCATTGACCAAAGTATCTGAATGTGTAATGGTAAAGGGTAGAGTGAGCGAGAGTGCTAATTGCCTGCAAAAGTGTGCTTGTAAAATAACATGGGGAGACAGCTAAACAGGCTAAGTGGGAAAAAGATTTACAATGAATATTAAACAACATGGAGTTGATTCAACACAATGGATTACAAAGTAAAGTGGATAAATGTCTCTCTCTATATACGCTTGTGGTAACATCTATTTTATATACACCATCACCTAGAAGGTAGCTCTGTTGGTTGACCACTCAAGGAAGGATTTGATGAACTAGAAGAAAGGGATCCATTATCTTGTGAGGGTTTAGCACCCCATTTCAATTCTACGTCAGAGGGTTCCACCACATGTACCGCTCCGTCGCTCATGCCTAGCGCAATCTGGTTAGGCTTGGTTGGATGAGCAGCTATGACCACTGCATACGCGCTGTTGCTGCTGCAGAAAGTTTTTATCAATGATTATCAATGACGGTGAAGTTGTACTGCCTTTTACGGTTGTATGTCGAAATATTTAAAGTTCCGTGTAAAATTTTCAAATATTCATCCCTCTGACGTGACTGACGAAGAAGGTATGTAAGCAAAAGGTGCTATTCGACATCTCACCCTCAAGTTATCCGAATAATATGTAGGATTAAGGGTATAAAAGATATATTAAAACTCATAAGTTATTTGGATTCGACTCGGATAAAACTCAAATTTAACTCGATCATTGTCAAGTTGAGTTCAAGCAACTTGATTTATTAAATGAGTCAAGTTCGAGTTTTCTAACATTTGGTTTGAGTAATTCATAGACTTAATCTAATTTTTATATTTTAATATATATTTTAATTATTTTAATCAAAAATTACTATTTGTCTTTCTATATATGAATTTGAATTTGAGTTCGAATATAAATAATCGAGTTTGAAGTCTAGTATGGTAATTGAGTTCTTTTTTTTTTTTAATATGATAAACGAGCTTAATTGAATAAGTTTGAGTAGTTTAAGTTTTATATTAAATTGTGATCTTAAAATTTACAACTTGATCAAGTTCAAGTTAAGTTTTAAGTAGTGAATTCTGAGTCGAACTCAAGTTTCTCATTTTATCGACTCGGCTCGACTCAATTACATCCTTATGTAAGATTAAGTATATGGTTAATTTTATTTTAAAAAAATAATAGAGAGAAAAGCAAAAGATAAAAAATGAATAAGAGAAAAGCAAACAATATAAAATAAACCAAATAGAATTTAAAGTTTTGATGTAATGCAATTTTTATGTTGATAATACATTTATTAAAACTATTCCAAGGAATTTTAGAACTCAATTTTCAATCGGATGGGATAGGACATTAAAGTTAATTTGAGGGGTAATTTTGGTAGTGGTTATATTTATTAAGGTTAAATTTGATTTTTGGTTCATAAGTTTGTGTTAATTAAGTCATGATACATTTTTTTAAAAAAAATTTTCACATTGCTAACGGCTAAAATTTTTTTGTTTGGCATTTATGTTGAAAAAAAAATTAAAAGAATAGGAAGAGGAAAGAGTTTAATAGTGTAAGCAAATTGAATATAATCGAATGGAGATATCCCCTTAATTTGTTATTTTATTTTTAGAATTATTTGAATTTATTTCATATTTCATAAAAATGTTATTCTATTTGTTTGAACTTGATTTGTTTAAATGATAAGATGTTCATGTTTCATTTGTACTTAATGTGATTAAATTAAATGAACTCGTGTAATATAAAAAAAAAAATGCATTCATATATGTGAAGGATTGCTTTAATTTATAGGTTTGTTAAGGAATGCTTGGGGTACTCATTAAGATTATCACATTAAAAAAAATCTTAATATTTCTTTTCAATGCATTGAAACTATCACATAAATTATCTTTACTAAATTAGATTAAAAGAATCCCTTATGGATTTTTATGTGACACTTTTTCAATATTGGTAAATTATCATTGTACCTTTATTTGTCAATTTTATTTTTAATTATTTTACATTATTTGTTTGTTTATTTTATTTTTAATTTATTTTAATATGTTATTTATTTAAATTTAAAAATTAGGATAGATTTTCATTAGTAAAAAAAATAATTTTAAAACTGAAAAAATGTATTAAAATTTTGAAAATAAATAAAAAATTATTCAAATGATGAAATTTTTAATAATCACAAACAACTGAAATTCTAAAAAAATTTTATATGAGATGTTTTGTAAAATTTTACCCAAATTATGGAAAATTTTAGAAAAAAAATTTAGTAATGACAATTGACATTAATTTTTTCAGCAAAAAAATAAAATGTATTAAAATTTTGAAAAAAAATAAAAACTATTTCAAAGATGATAAAATTTTGAAAATAAATAACAAATATTGCAAAAAAAATTAATTTATAGAAATATAGTTTTCTTGTTATCTAAGATATATAATTATGTGTATAACTAAATAGAAGATGATGATTAATAATTAAAATAAGTCACAATCAATATCTAACCGTCTAAGGGTATATTTGTGATTTATTACAACGGAATTATTTTTACTTCTTTTGCAAGAAATCAAATCCTTTGGCAGAGGAACTAGTAAACCGACTTAATAACTTCCATATGTATTGAAGGTCAAAGTTTCCTAAATTCTAATAGCAGCTTTAGTTTTTTAAGTTAAGAGAAAAAAAATGGAGGTGAAAGGAGTAAGGGTTAAGGTTCTTGGGAGGGGATCGTATGGGGCTGTACATTTGGTCCAAACGATAGGTCATGTTCCTCAATTTTATGCCGTGAAATCTGCTGATGAGACAATGTCGTCGTCTTTACGAAAGGAATATCAAATCCTTCAACAGTTTATCGCTTGCCCCAATATTGTTCGGTGCTTTGGTGCTTTCACCAGCGTTCGACGGGGTGGTCAAGGAAATGTTTTCAACCTGTTTCTTGAATATGCTTCAGGAGGCAGCCTGTTGGATTTGATGAGAGAGTATGGAGGTAAAATACCTGAACGGGATGTTAAGTGCTATGCAAGGATGATACTGGAAGGGCTGGTCGACGTTCACAAGAAAGGATACATTCATTCTGATCTCAAACCAGGTAACATTCTGGTTTTTCCTCCTCAAGATAGTATTGGCTTGAATACTTTAAAGATTGCGGATTTTGGGTTAGTTAAACAATATGGGGTAGAAGATAAAAGGATTTGGGAATATGGGTTTCGAGGCACAGCAATTTATATGTCTCCTGAATCTGTCATTGGAGAAGTTACTGGAGCATTGGATATATGGTCACTCGGCTGCATCATCGTTGAGATGATTACGGGGAAATTGCCATGGGTTTTTCGTAACTTGAAGGATTTGAGAGACAAGCTTTTGAGGGGGGAAACACCTCAAATCCCAGAAAACATGTCGAGTATGGGGAAGAATTTCTTAATCAAGTGTTTTGCTAGGGACCCAAACCAGAGGTGGACAGCTAGAAAGCTGTTAAGCCACCGTTATCTTCTCGCAGAGCACACCCTATTTCCAGTTGCAAGAAGTTACAACTCATCCCTTTCTTCAACAAATTTTCACGAGAAGAAACTATTCCAATCTCCCAAAGGTTTCTTGAGCTATAACTTATTCCCACCTGCTGGAAGAAGAGATTTTCTTGAGGACGTAAGGGTGCAGTTAATGAAGACCAGTCTGTGTCAGCGCGAAGAGGAAAGAAGACTTGTGAAGTTGGGCGTGTAGTGCGAAAGGTTTCAAAGCCATAACTAACCTGAGACCACAAAGTTTGAGGCTACCATGGAAAAAAATAAATATTTTGTTTATTTTGCTAGCTTTTTCTTGGATTTAAGTCCGGAAAAAAAATGTAATGATCTCTTTTTCTTCCAATAATTCGATATAACTTTGAAATCTATGAAGTTTTTTTGACATATTATAGTACTTTCTTTATTATTTGGAGCACTTTAATTTTCTAATCTAAATGTGTTATCATGGAAATTTAAGGGAGGGTGCATATTGTTAAACCCTTAGTGCAAAGTTGTTTTTTTTTTAATTTTTCCCTAAAAATAATTCTCATGATTTTGATAAGTGATATATTTTCAAGATATAATTTAATGTAGAAACCCAAATTCAATATGGGTTGCCGAATATAAATTTCGATTAAATCACCAAACTTTTTTGGTTTGATTTAAATTATATAAATTATTGATCACCAAATAATAATAGGGGTGAAATAATGTAAAAATTTTAAACTTTAATTTTTTTTTTCAAAATTTCACAAAAAGTTGCTTCTTGCTTAATGAAAAAACATGGATGGGCACAATACATGGATTTTGTTTTGGTAACAAATTGATTGAAACTAATGTTTTAGATACATACAGGCTATAACTGTTCAAGTAGGATCTTATTGATTTTAATTTTTTATAATATATAATATTATAAATTTTTAAATTTGATTCAAATCTGTATGATTTTTTTAATCGATCCGATTTAAATTGAATTTTATTAATTTAATTTGATTAATTGATTTTTACTTCAAAATAATTATTTTTATTTTTTAAAAATTTAAAATATATATAAATTAACAAAAATATATAATTTTATATGATTCGAATACTTTTTATTCACTTTTTAATTTGAAATCCATTACGAACTTAATAAAAGTATTTAATATCTAAATTTAAATCTAAGTCAAATAAAAACCAATTCAAATCAAATCAAACATTATAATTTCATAACAATTTTATCGTTTTTTTTTTTCTGAATCCCTACCTCTATGTTTTAAATCTAAACAAGCTTTTAATCATATTTTCTTTTTTTTTTTAGATTTAACAATATCCAAATTATGTTGTTAAATATATATATATATATATATATATTTTGACATGGAGATTATGATGCAGTAGATTATCTTTTAAACATGAAAAAATAGAAATTATACTGTCTTTCCACTAAATCTAAAAGATAAATTCTAACTATTGAAACCTCTTTCATAAATATATATATATAAAGCAAATAATTCATCTTCTCATTTACCAATGAAATGAAATTACATAATTAAATCATTCACCAAAGTATCTGAACGTGTAATGGTAAAGGGCAGAGTGAGCGAGTGATAATTTTGCCTGCAGAGGTGTACTTGTAAAATAACATGGCGAGAGAGCAAAACAGGCTTAAGTGGGAATACGACTTTACAATGAAATATTAAATAACATGGAGTTGATTCAACGCAATTGATTACAAAGTAAGAGGATAAATGTCTCTCTATATATGCTTGTGGTAACATCTACTTTATATACACCATCACCTAGAAGGTAGCTCTTTTGGTTGACCACTCAAGGAAGGATTTGATGAACTAGAAGGAAGGGATCCATTATCTTGAGAGGGTTTAGCACCCCATTTCAATTCTACATCAGAGGGTTCCACCACATGTACCGCTCCGTCGCTCATGCCTAGTGCAATCTGGTTAGGCTCGGACAGATGAGCTGCTATGACCACTGCATACGTGCTGTTGCTACTACAGAAAGTTTTTGTCGATGAAGCTGAAGTTGTACTGCCTTTTACTGCTGTGTGTCGAAATATTTAAATTTTGGTGTAAAATTTTCAAATATTCATCCCTCTCACCTGACTGACAAAGAAGATATGTAAGCAGAAGGTGCTATTCGGCATCTCACGCTCAAGTTGTCCGAATAATATGTAAGATTAAGAGTATAAAAGATATATTAATACTCATAAATTATTTGGATTTGACTCGGATAAAACTCAAATTTGACTAAATCATCGTCAAGTTGAGTTCGAGTAACTTGACTTATTAAGCAAGTCGAGTTCAAGTTTTCTAATGTTTGGTTCGAGTAATTAATAGGTTTAATCGAGTTTTTATATTTTAATATATATTTTAATTATTTTAATTAAAAAACTACTATTTTATCTTTATATATATGAAATTGAATTGAAATTTAAGTTCAAATATAGATAATCGAGTTTGAAGTCTAGTATGGTAATTGAGGTTTTTTTTTTTTTAATTTGATAAATAAGCTTAATCGAATAAGTTCGAATAATTTGACTTTTAAATCAAATCGTGATCTTAAAATTTATAATTCAATCAAGTTCGAGTTGAGTTTTAAGAAGTAAATTCTAAGTCGAGCTCAAGTTTATCATTTTATCAACTCGGCTTAACTCGATTACATCCTTATGTAAGATTAAGTATATGGTTAATTTTATTTAAAAAAATAATAGAAAGAAAAGAAAAAGATAGAAAATGAATAAGCGAAAGCAAACAATATAAAATCAACCAAATAGAATTTAGAGTTTTGATGTAATGCAATTTTTATGTTGATAATACATTATATTAAAGCTATTCAAAGGAATTTTAGAACTCAATTTTTAGTCACATTGGATAGGACAATAACGTTAATTTGAGGGGTAATTTTGGTAGTAGGTATATTTATTAAGGTTAAATTTGATTTTTTGTTCATAAGTTTGTGGTTAATTAAGTCATGATACATTTTTTAAAAAAAATTTTTCACTTTGCTATCGGCTAAAATTATTTTGTTTGGCATTTATGTTAAAAAAATTAAAAGAATAGGAAGAGAAAAAGTTTAACCTTCTATGTAAGGGTGCAAACGAATCGAATATAAAACGAATGGAGATATGTCCTTAATTTGTTTTTTCATTTTTAGAGTTGTTTGAGTTTATTTCATATTTGATAAAAAATTTATTTTATTTGTTTGAACTTGATTTGTTTAAATTATAGGATTTCGTATTTGATTTATGTTCAGCTTCATTAAATTAAATGAACTCGTGTAATATAAAAAAATGCATTCAATAATATGTGAAGCATTGCTTTAATTTATGGGTTTGTTAAGGAATGCTTGAGGTACTCATTAAGATTATCATATTAAAAAAAATTTTAATATTTCTTTTCAATGCATTGAAACTATCACATAAATTATCTATACTAAACTAAATTAAAAGAATCCCTTAAGGATTTTTATGTGACACTAATTCAATATTGGTAAATTATCATTGCACCTTTATTCTTCAATTTTATTTTTAATTATTTTACTTTATTTGTTTGTCTTAATTTATTTTTATTTAATTATTTATTATTTTTAATTTAGTTTAATTTGTTATTTATTTAAATTTAAAAATTAGGATAGATTTTGATTAGTAAAAAATAATAATTTTAAATTTGAAAAAATGTATTAAAATTTTGAAAATAAATAAAAAATATTCCAATAATGAAATTTTCAATAATCACAAACAATTGAATTTCTAAAAAATTTTTATATGAGATGTTTTTTAAAATTTTATCCAAATTATGGAAAAATTTAGAAAAAAAATTAGCAATGATAATTGACATTATGTATTAAAATTTAGAAAAATCAAATAAAAACTATTTCAAAGATGATAAAATTTAGAAAAAAATAAAAAAAAATTGCAAAAAAAAATCATAGAAATATAGTTTTCTTGTTATCTAAGATATATAATTATGTGTACAACTAAATAGAAGATGATGATTAATAATTAAAATAAGTCACAACCAAGGTCTAACCGTCTAAGTGTATATTTGTGATATATTACAACGGAATTATTTCTACTTCTTTCCCAAGAAATCAAATCCTTTGGCAGAGGAATTAGTAAACTGACTTAATAACTTCTATATGTATTGAAGTTCAAAGTTTCCCAAATTGTAACGGCGGCTTCAATTTTTTAAGTCGAGAAAAAAAATGGAGGTGAAAGGAGTAAGGTTAGGATTCTTGGGAGGGGATCGTATGGGGCTGTACATTTGGTTCAAATGATAGGTCATGTTTCTCAGTTTAATTTATGTTCGGTTTGATTAAATTAAATAAACTCATGTAATATAAAAAAATGCATTCAATAAAATGTGAATCATTGCTTTAATTTATAGGTTTGTTAAGGAATGCTTGGGGTATTCATTAAGATTATCATATTAAAAAATCTTTTAATATATTTTTGCAATGCATTGAAACTATCACATAAATTATTGAAACTACACTAAATTAAAAGAATCCCTTAAGGATTTTTATGTGACACTTATTCAAAATTGGTAAATTATCATTGTACCTTAATTCGTCAATTTTACTTTTAATTATTTTACTTTATTTGTTTGTTTTATTTTATTTTTATTTAATTATTTCTTTATTGTTAATTTATTTTAATTTTTTATTTATTGAAATTTAAAAATTAGGATAGATTTTGATTAGTAAAAAATGATAATTTTAAATTTGAAAAAATGTATTAAAATTTTGAAAATAAATAAAAAATATTCCAATGATGAAATTTTTAATAATCACAAATAATTAAATTTAAAAAATTTTAAATGAGATGTTTTTTAAAATTTTATCCAAATTATGGAAAATTTTAGAAAAAAAATTTAGTTATGATAATTGATATTAATTTTTCAGCAAAAAATAAAATGTATTAAAATTTTGAAAAAAAAATAAAAACTATTTCAAAGATGATAAAATTTTGAAAATAAATAAAACATATTGCCAAAAGAAAAAGAAATTCATAGAAATATAGTTTTCTTGTGATCTAAGATATATAATTATATGTACAACTAAATAAAAGAAGATGATTAATAATTAAAATAAGTCATAATCAAGGTCTAACCGTCTAAGGGTGTATTTATGATATAATACAATGGTATTATTTCTACTTCTTTTGCAAGAAATCAAATCCTTTGGCAGAGGAACTAGTAAACCTACTTAATAACTTCTATATGTATATATTGAAGTTCAAAGTTTCCCAAATTCTAATAGCAGCTTTAGTTTTTCAAGTCGAAAAAAAAATAGAGGTGAAAGGAGCAAGGGTTAAGGTTCTGGGGAGGGGATCGTATGGGGTTGTACATTTGGTCCAAACAATAGGTCATGCTCCTCAGTTTTATGCTGTTAAATCTGCTGATTAGACAATATCGTCGTCTCTACGAAAGGAACATCAGATCCTTCAACAGCTTATCGGTTGCCCCAACATTGTTCGGTGCTTTGGTGCTTTCACCAGCGTTCGAAGGGGTGGTCAAGGAAACGTTTTCAACCTGTTTCTTGAATATGCTTCAGGAGGCAGCCTGTTGGATTTGATGAGGGATTATGGAGGTAAAATACCTGAACGAGATGTTAAGTGCTATGCAAGGATGATACTGGAAGGGCTGGTCGACATTCACAAGAAAGGATGCATTCATTCTGATCTCAAGCCAGGTAACATTCTGCTTTTTCCTCCTCAAGATAGTATTGGCTTGAATACTTTAAAGATTGCGGATTTTGGGTTAGTTAAACAATATGGGGTAGAAGATAAAAGGATGTGGGAATATGGTTTTCGAGGCACAGCAATTTATGTCTCCTGAATCTGTCATTGGAGAAGTTACTGGAGCATTGGATATATGGTCACTCGGCTGCATCATCGTTGAGATTATACTTCACGAAAATGAAGCTAACAGGAATGAAAATTAATTAATTTAGGAGATAATCAAGCAAGCATATTTCTTTGGAATTCATTTTTCTTAAATCATTTTTCCATTTATAAAAAAAGAAACACCAGTTAATAAACATTAGACGAATAATCAATCTAAAATTTAATTTTTATTCATACAATCATCTTTAAGAAACATACAATAAATTTAAAATATAAATTCTAACTATTAAAACCTCTTTCATAAATAATATATATATATATATAAAAGCTAATAATTCATCTTCTCATTTACCAATGAAATGAAGTTACATAATTTAATCATTGACCAAAGTATCTGAATGTGTAATGGTAAAGGGTAGAGTGAGCGAGAGTGCTAATTGCCTGCAAAAGTGTGCTTGTAAAATAACATGGGGAGACAGCTAAACAGGCTAAGTGGGAAAAAGATTTACAATGAATATTAAACAACATGGAGTTGATTCAACACAATGGATTACAAAGTAAAGTGGATAAATGTCTCTCTCTATATACGCTTGTGGTAACATCTATTTTATATACACCATCACCTAGAAGGTAGCTCTGTTGGTTGACCACTCAAGGAAGGATTTGATGAACTAGAAGAAAGGGATCCATTATCTTGTGAGGGTTTAGCACCCCATTTCAATTCTACGTCAGAGGGTTCCACCACATGTACCGCTCCGTCGCTCATGCCTAGCGCAATCTGGTTAGGCTTGGTTGGATGAGCAGCTATGACCACTGCATACGCGCTGTTGCTGCTGCAGAAAGTTTTTTATCAATGACGGTGAAGTTGTACTGGCTTTTACGGTTGTATGTCGAAATATTTAAATTTCCGTGTAAAATTTTCAAATGTTCATCCCTCTCACGTGGCTGACAAAGAAGGTATGTAAGCAGAAGGTGCTATTCGACATCTCACCCTCAAGTTATCCGAATAATATGTAGGATTAAGGGTATAAAAGATATATTAATACTAATAAGTTATTTGGATTCGACTCGGATAATTTAACTCGATCATTATCAGGTTGAGTTCAAGTAACTTCACTTATTAAGTGAGTCGAGTTCAAGTTTTCTAACATTTGATTTGAGTAATTCATAAGCTTAATCTAATTTTTATATTTTAAATATATTTTAATTATTTTAATTAAAAAATTACTATTTTATCTTTATATGTATGAATTTGAATTTGAGTTCGAATATAAATAATCGAGTTTAAAGTTTAGTATGGTAATTGAGTTCTTTTTTTTTTTTAATTTGATAAACGAGCTTACTTAAGTAAGTTCGAGTAGTTTAAGTTTTATATTAAACTGTGATCTTAAAATTTACAACTAGATCAAGTTCAAGTTAAGTTTTAAGTAATGAATTCTGAGTCGAGCTCAAGTTTCTCATTTTATCGATTCGGCTCGACTCGATTACATCCTTATGTAAGATTAAGTATATGGTTAATTTTATTTAAAAAAAATAATAGAGAGAAAAGCAAAGGATAAAAAATGAATAAGAGAAAAGCAAACAATATAAAATAAACCAAATAGAATTTAAAGTTTTGATGTAATGCAATTTTTATATTGATAATACATTTATTAAAACTATTCCAAGGTATTTTAGAACTCAATTTTCAATCGGATGGGATAGGACATTAAAGTTAATTTGAGGGGTAATTTTGGTAGTGGTTATATTTATTAAGGTTAAATTTGATTTTTGGTTCATAAGTTTGTGGTTAATTAAGTCATGATACATTTTTTAAAAAAAAAATTTCACATTGCTAACGGCTAAAACATTTTTGTTTGGCATTTATGTTGAAAAAAAAATTAAAAGAATAGGAAGAGGAAAGAGTTTAATAATGTAAACAAATTGAATATAATCGAATAGAGATATCTCCTTAATTTATTATTTTATTTTTAGAATTATTTGAATTTATTTCATATTTGATATAAAAAATTATTCTATTTGTTTGAATTTGATTTGTTTAAATGATAAGATGTTCATGTTTGATTTGTATTTGACGTGCTTAAATTAAATGAACTCGTGTAATATAAAAAAAATGCATTCAATAATATGTGAAGCATTGCTTTAATTTATAGGTTTGTTAAGGAATGTTTGGAGTACTCATTAAGATTATCATATTAAAAAAATTTTTAATATTTCTTTTCAATGCATTGAAACTATCACATAAATTATCTTTACTAAATTAGAATAAAAGAATCCCTTATGGATTTTTATGTGACGCTTATTCAATATTGGTAAATTATCATTGTACCTTTATTTATCAATTTTATTTTTAATTATTTTACATTATTTGTTTGTTTATTTTATTTTTATTTAATTATTTAATTATTTAATTATTTTTAATTTATTTTAATTTGTTATTTATTTAAATTTAAAAATTAGGATAGATTTTCATTAGTAAAAAAAATAATTTTAAAAATGAAAAAATGTATTAAAATTTTGAAAATAAATAAAAAATTATTCAAATGATGAAATATTTAATAATCACAAACAACTGAAATTCTAAAAAAATTTTATATGAGATGTTTTGTAAAATTTTACCCAAATTATGAAAAATTTTAGAAAAGAAATTTAGTAATGACAATTGACATTAATTTTTCAGCAAAAAAATAAAATGTATTAAAATTTTGAAAAAAAATAAAAACTATTTCAAAGATGAGAAAATTTTGAAAATAAATAACAAATATTGCAAAAAAAAAATTAATTTATAGAAATATAATTTTCTTGTTATCTAAGATATATAATTATGTGTATAACTAAATAGAAGATGATAATTAATAATTAAAATAAGTCACAATCAAGATCTAACCATCTTAGGGTATATTTGTGATATATTACAACGGAATTATTTTTACTTCTTTTGCAAGAAATCAAATCCTTTGGCAGGGGAACTAGTAAACCGACTTAACAACTTCTATATGTATTGAAGTTCAAAGTTTCCTAAATTCTAATAGCAGCTTTAGTTTTTTAAGTTGAGAAAAAAAAAATGGAGGTGAAAGGAGTAAGGGTTAAGGTTCTTGGGAGGGGATCGTATGGGGCTGTACATTTGGTCCAAACGATAGGTCATGTTCCTCAATTTTATGCCGTGAAATCTGCTGATGAGACAATGTCGTCGTCTTTACGAAAGGAATATCAAATCCTTCAACAGTTTATCGCTTGCCCCAATATTGTTCGGTGCTTTGGTGCTTTCACCAGCGTTCGACGGGATGGTCAAGGAAATGTTTTCAACCTGTTTCTTGAATATGCTTCAGGAGGCAGCCTGTTGGATTTGATGAGACAGTATGGAGGTAAAATACCTGAACGGGATGTTAAGTGCTACGCAAGGATGATACTGGAAGGGCTGGTCGACGTTCACAAGAAAGGATACATTCATTCTGATCTCAAACCAGGTAACATTCTGGCTTTTCCTCCTCAAGATTGTATTGGCTTGAATACTTTAAAGATTGCGGATTTTGGGTTAGTTAAACAATATGGGGTAGAAGATAAAAGGATTTGGGAATATGGGTTTCGAGGCACAGCAATTTATATGTCTCCTGAATCTGTTATTGGAGAAGTTACTGGAGCATTGGATATATGGTCACTCGGCTGCATCATCGTTGAGATGATTACGGAGAAATTGCCATGGGGTTTTCGTAACTTGAAGGATTTGAGAGACAAGCTTTTGAGGGGGGAAACACCTCAAATCCCAGAAAACATGTCGAATATGGGGAAGAATTTCTTAATAAAGTGTTTTGCTAGGGACCCAAACCAGAGGTGGACAGCTAGAAAGCTGTTAAGCCACCGTTATCTTCTCCCAGAGCACACCATATTTCCAGTTGCAAGAAGTTACAACTCATCCCTTTCTTCAACAAATTTTCAAGAGAAGAAACTATTCCAATCTCCCAAAGGTTTCTTGAGCTATAACTTATTCCCACCTGCTGGAAGAAGAGATTTTCTTGAGGACGTAAGGGTGCAGTTAATGAAGACCAGTCTGTGTCAGCGCGAAGAGGAAAGAAGACTTGTGAAGTTGGGCGTGTAGTGCGAAAGGTTTCAAAGCCATAACCAACCTGAGACCACAAAGTTTGAGGCTACCATGGAAAAAATAAATATTTTGTTTATTTTGCTATTTTTTTCTTGGATTTAAGTTCGGAAAAAAATGTAATGATCTCTTTTTCTTCCAATAATTCGATATAACTTTGAAACCTATGAAATTTTTTTGACATTTTATAGTACTTTCTTTATTATTTGGAGCACTTTAATTTTCTAATCTAAATGAGTTATCATGGAAATTAAGGGAGGGTGCATATTGTAAAAACCTTACTACATAGTTGTTTTTTTTTTTTTTTTCTAAAAATAATTCTCGTGATTTTTGGTAAGTGATATATTTTCAGGATATAATTTCATGTAAAAATCCAATTCCAATAGGGGTTGCCAAATACAAGTTGCAACTAAATCACTAAACTTCTTTGGTCTGATTTAAATTATATAAATTATTGATCAACTAATAATAAAAGTGGTCAAATAATCAAAAAAAATTGAAACTTTCACTTTTTTTTCAAAATTTCAGAGAAGGTTGCTTTTTGTGGCTGCTTAATGAAAAAACATGGATGGGCACAATACATGGATTTTGTTTTGGTAACAAATTGAATGAAACTAATGTTTTAGATACATACAGGCTATAACTGTTCAAGTAGGATCTTATTGATTTTATTTTTTTATAATATATAATATTATAAATTTTTAAATTTGATTCAAATCTGTATGATTTTTTTAATCGATCCGATTTAAATTGAATTTTATCAATTTAATTTGATTAATTGGTTTTTACTTCAAAATAATTATTTTTATTTTTAAAAAATTTAAAATATATATAAATTAACAAAAATATATAATTTTATATGATTCGAATACTTTTTATTCACTTTTTAATTTGAAATCCATTACGAACTTAATAAAAGTATTTAATATCTAAATTTAAATCTAAGTCAAATAAAAACCAATCCAAATCAAATCAAACATTATAATTTCATAACAATTTTCTCGTTTTTTTTTTTCTGAATCCCTACCTATATGTTTTAAGTCTAAACAAGCTTTTAATCATATTTTCTTCTTTTTTTTTAGATTTAACAATATCCAAATTATGTTGTTAAATATATATATATATATATATATATATATAGATATTTTGACATGGAGATTATGATGCAGTAGATTATCTTTTAAAAATGAAAAAATAGAAATTATACTGTCTTTCCACTAAATCTAAAATATAAAATCTATCTATTGAAACCTCTTTCATAAATATATATATATATATAAAGCAAATAATTCATCTTCTCATTTACCAATGAAATGAAATTACATAATTAAATCATTCACCAAAGTATCTGAAGTGTAATGGTAAAGGGCAGAGTGAGCGAGAGTGCTAATTTTGCCTGCATAAGTGTATTTGTAAAATAACATGGCGAGAAAGCAAAACAGGCTTAAGTGGGAATAAGATTTACAATGAAATATTAAATAACATGGAGTTGATTCAACGCAATTGATTACAAAGTAAAGAGGATAAATGTCTCTCTATATATGCTTGTGGTAACATCTACTTTATATACACCATCACCTAGAAGGTAGCTCTGTTGGTTGACCACTCAAGGAAGGATTCGATGAACTAGAAGGAAGGGATCCATTATTTTGAGAGGGTTTAGCACCCCATTTCAATTCTACATCAGAGGGTTCCACCACATGTACCGCTCCATCGCTCATGCCTAGCGCAATCTGGTTAGGCTCGGTTGGATGAGCAGCTATGACCACTGCATACGCGCTGTTGCTGCTGCAGAAAGTTTTTGTCAATGAAAGTGAAGTTTTACTGCCTTTTACGGTTGTATGCCGAAATATTTAAATTTCCGTGTAAAACTATCAAATGTTCATCCCTCTCACCTGACTGAGAAAGAAGGTATGTAAGCAGAAGGTGCTATTCGACATCTCACCCTCAAGTTATCCGAATAAAAAACTCCAACAGCACCATCACAAAATCCAGTATAAACCAGTGAGCCATCACAGGAATATATTGCACTTGAAATGGGAGCATTGAGTGAATCTTTTGGGGACCACTGCAAGAATGAGAGACAGCAAAACTGATTATAAAATCATACCATTTGAACAATTCTAAAACTAGATATCCAAAAAAAATCCAATCAAAAGAAAAACAAACTAAGAAACAAAAAAACAAATATAATAATTTAACTTGCTGTAACCAGCGTAGTAGTTAAAACTCGATCAAGATTACCAACAGTTAGTTGGCTCAAGTGACAATGAGTGTGCTCCTCTCCTTGTTGCCTCAGTTCAAATCCACTGTGAGTCTATGAGAAAGTAAATTCACATGAATTCACTAAGCCTGACATAGATTCAGCTTTGCTTGGACCGAAAAAGGGGATGTACTGGGTGAAACCCAAGAACCCCTTATTGCTAAATCAAAAAAAATCTCATTCAAGGTCCTACAAAGTCTTCCTTCAACCACTGCACCGTAATGCCAGGAAACATTTGATAGTGAACACAAAGCCAAGTTTCTGATCTATTGCCCCAAAGTTTTATATAGCTCACCACCAAAAAAAAAAAATCCTCCACCATCAACAATTCAAGAGCAGTTTTGATAGTGAACAAAAGTTTTAATCAATCAAACTAAGGTTGAATTTGTTCACGTATTTAAAACTTAATAACATTTAGAGTAGGATTTTAAATGAGAAATATGATGTAAGGATCCTTTCTGTTAATCAACCAACCGAAACAAATCAACAATTGCTAAAGAGGCCCAAACTAAATACAGGTTCACTACAAAGCCTACTTAATTGATGCAGGAGAACACCGACTAAAACTATCAGAGCTGCCTAGTTCAAAACTTGATGTGTTATATCATATTGCAAACAGGCAACAATTATGATTTCAAATTCAATATTAACTAAGCTGAAGCATTTGTATTCTTATATACTCATTTTTAAGTTTGATAGACATAAGTCTACAGAAAATTTATTCTAGGTCCTGGATATTGGCATTTGGCAGTGTTTTCATGGCTTTGGTAACCAGAATATCAGTATCACTTGACTAGCGGTTGCAGTAAAGGTACCAGGGCATCTTAACACGTAGTACTAGCATTCTTAAGGCTGGAGGATATCAAGTAAATGAATGTATTATTTCAGGGTCCAAAAGAAAGAATGCGGATTTTTGACACCTATTTTCTCTATTGTTAGAGACGCCAGTCATAGTTCATATCTTCTTGTAACTCCCTCTGGAAAAATCACTCTTCATTATTGACCATTTTCTGTTGAGGCAGAAAACCATACAATGATGCTAATAACCTACTTTCTCAAAAGCAAGCACAAATCATATATAATGATAATAGGGATAATAAGGATCACACTATAATAGACTTATATAATATAGCAAATATTATTGGAGCACAAATCAAGTAGGGAATTTCAGGTCAGAAAGGTCCCAATAATAGTAATAATGAATGTTTGCCTTACCTTTACTCCCACATTAGTCATGTCATAAAATAGTTCCCCACAAAAATAATAATAATAACAATAATATAAAAAATAATAATAATAATAACAATACAAGTAAAATGATGCAAAGTAGACAACTTACAGAGCGCAAACATTCAAGCTTGCTGTCATAGATGGCTATTTGGCTTTCATGGACAACCAATAGATGAGTTTGGTCATTGTGAAACTGGACTTTGGTTTCTCCTGCTAGTGGAGATTGACGACCAGCTGGTGCCTGTATGAAACTCGATTTCTTTTTCCCCCATCCATCTATGCTCCAAACACACAACTACAAGGGAAAATAAAGTCAGTGAATACATCGTCATTGTTAGCATGCGTTGCCTTCTTTTTTTTAATACAATTCATAAATTAACAAATCAAATGCTTGTTTTAAGTTAAAATTGTTTCAATTCAGTGAAACGGTTAAAGCCACTCAATACAAGGATAACATAAAATTATGACTACGTCTACTAAAGGTTGCATCATACTATATTCGTTCAATCAATAACTAACCTGTGCATCAGCCCCTGAAGACACCAGAGAATTTAAAGTTTGGGAAAAGGCAAGTCCTGTTATCCGATTCTGGTGGCCTTTGAGTTTAGTTTTGACCTGCCAAAAGCAATAGCCTAAATATGCTTCTAGAGCCAAATGTCATGCCAAAAGATTAACACTATTATGGAGCAGATGCCAGAATGAGTTTTAGCTTCTCAAAGAATAAGTTAGCCTTTCCATTTCAAAAGAAAGGCCAGTATAAAACTTTCCCTGGTCCACTTAATAATCAAATGATTCTAATCCCTTTCATCACAACTTTTTTTTTTTTTATTTTCTTTGTGTTCTTCGTATAGGCAGAGCAACGGAGGTTAACAAGAAGCCATCAACCATGTGCCATAACGATTCTAGCATTCCAAGTTAACTTGCAATCATGGTCATTACGATGCATATAAAAAATTGACACACTGAATAATGCCAAATGGTGATAAGCTAGACCAAGTTAGCAAGAGCATAGAGCCATACAATGATAAAATGGTGCTTGAATTTAGTAATAAATTCTAAGAAAATAGGTGGCTTGATAAAATGCAAGAATTCAGAATTCTCCTACTTGAACAAAATTGTCCTAACTGAGAGATATATACCAAAATAGTTTCTATTACTAATTGAAGCTAAAAAAAATGCTTCACCTCATCAACTCTGACATTATAAATTTGAATCGTGGAATCTTCCATGCCAATGGCAATAATATTATTATCTTGGGGATGAAATGCCAAGAATGTGGCTGCAGGAGGAGGGGAAATAAAGGTGGTCATCACCTGGTAAGAATTAGCCCAGGTGAGTAATGTGGATAACTTCAATGAACACAAATAAAATGGTGAACAGTTTGGGAAACAAATTAAAATTGTCATTTAAGACCTTGAATGTCATCATGTTGAACAAAGACACCTTCCCTCCCGATGCGGACATAACATAAGAATCATTTTTAGACAATGCAATGCATGCAGCAGACTCTTCCGCAGGTTTAGTGTCACTTATATCATTTGTCATAGGTGTACCACTAGGCGGCTGCCACAATTGTGGTGCAACATATGCAGTTGCCTGAAGGTTTACAATGGAAAACTATTAGAAAATATAAGTTAATAATTAAAAGATACAGATTTTCTCATTTAAAAACACAAGACAAACCTTGCCTAATGGACTCCTTTCACTACGTTGCCATTTCCAAAGTTTGTGAACAGCATTTGAAGCAAGGGCCAAAAGAGCAAGACCAGAGTTAGTGTACAGCAGCCTCACAACCTGCAATTAAAGATTGCTAACCCTCAATTATGGACATAGAAAATCCTAAAAATTGGACCAAAAACATAAAACAATTAAGTCTGAATGCACCAAGTTTACGCATAAACATACGAATGTATGCATCTTAGATAGCTACATTATGATCTGACCTAATTTCTCAATACTGAATTAAGCAGAAAAAGATACAAAATACTGCATATATCAAATATATTAACAACCCAATTTTTAAATATATATAATACATGTGCCGTTATTATCTATGTGCACGTGTTTCTGTAAAAGTACAATGAATAGATAAGCCAGTACTCCATTATTCCTCCTATATTGGATTAACTAATTCCCTTTTAAATTATCAGATTCAGTAGTTACTTATGCCCCCACAAGAGAAAGTTCCTAACTCTAGTCCTTTATGCAAGAAACAGATGTAACAACAGACTAAATATGCAAACCAGTAAAGAGTTCATTTATGATCAGAATTCAACACTAGAAAAGGAAAAATAGTTTTAAAAAAAGTATAAGTACAATTCATAATTCCTGTGTCATTCATTTACATTTTTTTCTCAAGTTCCAAAATTGATATAAATTCATATGCTGTCAAATGTGCTTAAATCATCTCTTTTACAGCTTCAATTAATAGCAAACAACTATATATGTTCCAGTACTAAATACTTGTGTCAAATAAAAAAACTGATCCTTAGCATACATCAGGGGGGAAAACCTCTCTCTCAAGCAAGCAGGAAAACATTGCTGGTTTTTGCAAAGGATAAGCTAATACATTAAGGCTATGTTTGACACATAGGATTAGTTGAAGGGTAGGATACTAATCATCCTATCACATGTTTGTTATGCACTTAAATAAAAGGACTGGATTATTGAAAGGATTAGATATCCTATGCCAATAGGATAACTCCATCCTTTAGAAAAGTAGGGGATTATTTTTAATCTATGGGATTAAACTTATAGGTTCTATTATATCCTTAAAAATTATATCAATAATTTAAATTGCATAAACCTTAAGGAAAGATAATTTTGACCAATAAATAAATTATCCTATATTAATCTTTGCACACATCAAACATAAAATAGGATGACATTTTTTAATCTAATCCTATTCATAATATAATCTTTACCCTATCTTATCATAATCTTGTGTACCAAACATAACATTAATATATAGCATAATAAAATAACTGTTAGCTGCACTTTTTTGTACCAAAAAAAAGAGTGAAAACCAAATATCGCCACAATAAAAAATTAAAAATCAATTTTATCCAGCAAGTTTGTCCCAACCCGGGATACTTGTATTTCATGAACGGATAATGTTCTCTAGAGATCTTTCATAAGAACCGACTTTATAGCTATTTCCTGAATGAAGGTGCTATTATATTATCAAGACAGGTTTACAGATAGGATGAACAAAACGCTGTTCTGTCTTATTGAACAAAGTTAGCATATAGGAAAAAAAATCTTATGGTGCATAAGGTACAACAAATTTATTTACAGTTGTTTATCATTTCGAACCTGGCTTGAATGAGAAATTGCATTAGGTACAAAGTTCCAATGCAGCGAAATATCTCATCCAAAGCCAGATTCAAAAGGATAACCACCAACAAATAAATTTCAAATTACCACAAAGGAAAGGAGAACATTGCTATTATGCAAGCGTATTTGTTTCCTAAGCAACAATGCACTAACACCCAGCAATTAATCATGTTCTTCAAGTACCCACCTTTCCTGCTGCTATGGCATCAGGTAATCGCAGGACTTTCAGGTGAGACGGTTCCATAATGTCAGGAATTCTCCAGCCCCTGATCTTGTCTGTATCATCTGAAATCCGTGGTTTAACATCAACAAGCCTGCTGTTGTCCATGTTACCCTATGATTGACATCCAAATGAAATTAGCAATCCCTGTAACACCAAAAAAGATAGCATGCAACTGAAACAGCTGAACTTAAAAGGCTGCTAACAGATTGAGCAGGGAGGACTCTATCTGGGCGTTCAAGGGCAGGAGCAATGGCAGCATTTCCAACAGGACCAAGAGCATTAACAATCAATTGCTGCAGAAAACATTGTCCAGGAAAAGCGAAATAGGAAAATTATTAGCAGCATAGAAAGAATATTCGTAAAAAAAGACATGCAAAGAAAGCCCTAAAAGATAGGAGAAAATGTAGAAAATAAACCATCCATAAACAGCCGTCTTATGTGGCAATGAACAGTTCAGCAAGACAAAGTTACTGAGAGAAATATAACCATTTGTATCTAAACAATCAAGAATTTCTTCCTTTTAAGTTATAATAACACAAGCAACAAGTAAATTTTACTATACTCCTGGATCTTTTATTGACGAACAAAGGGTAATATTTTACTCCTTGTGAATGCATTCTATGATAGTAGCAACATTAAAAAAAATTCATTGTAAAACTAAAGATATAATACATATATTGGCTCCAGTGTAAAGCATTGAAAGAATAATGAAGGAAAACTTTTTTTAAGGTCATTATAACAGAAAAGAGCTATGCATGGATTACAAGACAAAACTCCAACCACAAAAGATAATGAACCTGAACATTTTCTGAACAAAATTGAACAATAAGCAACCAACAGATTCACCAAAAGCACACAACAAATAGTTATTCAATAAATAGAAAATCACGCCTTTAATAGTAATATTCTGACTTTTGCAATTAGGGTCATTCCCTACGACTTTTGCAATTAGGGTCATTCCCTACTCTAAGCAATGTCTCCTAGCAAGTTAACTACCAAGCCAGCAGGGCTTGCTGTTCTACTGACAGTTTACTTCTTACAAGGGTATGAATTTACAAGGCATTATTTAGATATGCCAATTGCCAAACTTAAGGAATAATTCAAATCAAAGAACAAAACTACCTTAGAGTTGACAGGTTCAGAAGGGCCTTGACTTTTGTCAACAACCCTGCTCTCCAACATCCTTATCATGCGTGAACCATCACCGTTAGCCAAGATTTTGATACTATTATCACTAGTTGTAACCGCCAACAATGACCCTTCCTTGTTGAATCTTAATCGGGGACTAGCCTGCAAAAGGATTAGAATAGATAATTGCAACATCTGCAACTTAACTACTAGTGAAAAGAACATGTAGCAATACTAACAGGCAAACCGCCATCTGCGTCAACAGCTGTCAACATGGTAGTATCATCCATGTCCCAGAACTTAATTTGGAATTCATCACCAGCTGCTAATAACCTGTTCCTGGTTGTGTCAAACTGGACAACACCTAAAGAACGATTCCTAAAACCAGAATATCTTCTTTTGATAGCTCCTTCACTCTCATTCCATTCAACTAAATGGGATTCACCATCTTTACTGGTTCCACAAGAGAAAAGCCTGCAAGAATAAATCCAAGTTTTTGTTCATATATACATATACATCTTCTTATACATCTGTATGTATCAAGCTTGCTCATAAATAACATCAAAATTAATCTTAAAATCAGACACCATCTCAAATAGACTATTTTTGAGGGTGAAATGAACATAAGAAAATAAGTTACAATATTCTTAATTTAAAAGAGTTTTGATGCATCTAAATGCCAACATTTCCAGGCATAATTATGTAAATATGATTGTGGAAACATACCAAAACTTCCAAATAAATTCAAATAGACTGTCATCTCTGACAATTAACATTTTACCTAGTTCCATCAGCACTGTATGCCATTGTGGTGCACCAAAGTCCAGGGGCATCATAGTCCACTCTAGATCCCAAGCAATCATATAACCAAGCTTTAATCTTCCCATCAATGGCAGTGGAAAAGATAAACTGTTCATACAGGAAGAGTTTGGAAATATAATGAGAACGGAAATGAAATTTTTCAAAAGAAGAGACCAAAATTCTGCAGCCCAACCATGAGAGAACACCAAGAATCAGAAAACAACAAGTACAAAGCTAATAACAACTTCTAAATGAGGTTTACCTGAATATTTTCTTTATGATGAGGGCATACAGAATATACTGGAGCTTCATGGCCTTCAAATGTATAAAGTCCGCATCCAGCAACAGTGTCCCATACCTGCCAAACAGGAAATTTCATTATGGATAAACAAATTCTTCTTCAACTTACAAAAACTATATCAAGACAAAAGATGATACCTTAATCATCTTATCATCCCCACATGTAACAATACATAATTGCTTGTTGGGATGAGCAAACGCTATGTCATTAACACCTCCAACATGGGCATCAATCTACAAAATATAATAGGATGTTAATGACCTTCTCTGCCGTGATTTTCAAGAGATATTTGATATGTGTCGTGATTGGCTTACCTCCAAATGCTGTCTTAATTCACCAGCTGGATTGTAATGATATATCTGGACTATATGCTTTGAAAATGCAACACCTATAAAGAACAATATTTAATTCAAGAACAGATAAAAGCAACAGCAAGGAGGGGCAAGACAGAATCAAACAGTATGTAAGTTTTGAGCAGAAAATATAGTTAACCATACCAAGCATAAGTCCATCAGGCGCCCAAACACATCGATTTACTGATATCACAGCATCATTCACTAGTGATGTCTGGTAGTAGAGAAAAAAAAGAAAGATCAGTACTCAGCAAAAGAGATTTTTACATGTTTGGGTCGTGAATGGGTTGGCAAATAGCAGGAAGTTTATTCTCAATTTCCAAGTCAATCGTTATCAATGTTTTACATGATGGCAAGAGATAATTCTATCAACTAGATATTATCCCATAGCAAGAAAGGAAAAATTGGCTAGGGTCAATAAGAAAGATGAATTAATAATACCTATAGGAAGTTGATACAATACCTGCAAAGGCATGGAAACAGCCGAAATATCCCAAACCTTGAATGGCTTATGGGCCAACCTTTCCCGAGATCCTACTTCCCAAAGGCTGATGTCACCAACTTTTGTGCCAACTAAAAACAAAAAAAGAATGGAAAAACCATCAATAAATAAGCAATTAATATCTGCCAAAATTTTCCTAAAATCTTCATAGCAAATTGATAAAATATATATATCAACCTAGGAGAATGGTTTGTTGTTGAGGATGAAAGTCCATGCTCATGACATTAGATCCTTGGTTAAAGGCCCGCACAACAGTTTTTGGAAGGTCGTCTTGTGAGTAGACATTGGGAGTATGTGATATACCAGAAAAAGATACCTGCGAAAACCATATGTGAGCATAGTGTCTGTAATTAGATGAGGAAAAAAACCAAAAAAAAAAAAAAAAAAACTAATCATACCACCTAGACCCAACATATGGAGATGAAGAGCATGTCCCATCTAAAAAGTTTGAGAACTAATCATGTGTAAAGAAAACTAACTGAGGAAAGACAAGATAACAAAGGAATTGCCCAATTTATCCGCACCTCATCAGACTGGCCAGTGCGAATGCGCTTCATCAAATGCTCTGAATCAGCTGACTGATAATCCATCCCTGGCATACCTGACTGTGTCCTTGGGTGCTTGAGAAATGCAGCTGAATCATCAGGGCAAAAAAAACGCAAACAAAGTAAGTTCACTGGAACATTATTCCAACAGAGACAAACAAATGCCAGCTACTTGTACCTACCTGCATTAGAAGGCTGGACAAGGCCAGGGGGGGCTGCCGCTACAGCTGCAGCATGAGGTAAAGAAGGATTTCCACTTGGCATCCACCCTGCAATAGCACCAGAAGATGGAGAAACAACAGGCTGAAATGGCTGCACATCAAAACCATCCAAGAATTGTTTGAGAATGCAGCATATTTTTTGTATCAGATAAATTAATGCAAAATACTTACACCATGGGCAACAACAGGAGGGAACACCCCAGCCTTGGAAATTGGTCCAACAAGGGGACCATTAGTAGGAGGTGGAGGACGTGCCCCATTGGAAGTTGGCAAACAAGAATGATCCGTAAAGAGAGTTTTAATGTCAGGGTTTGGGCGAGGATTCTTGCAAAGCTGATGCTGCCAATTTAGACTGAAAAATTCAACAAAGAAAATGAGCTAACAGAATATAATATATATATATATATAAAGAATTAAGGTCAGCTACCAATCTAAACTTGATTGTGTCAATTGTTCTATACTCACCTTATAAAGTATTGAGTTATTAACAGAGACATATCAGCAAATCGAGACTTTATTTTCAAAAGGTAAGAAAGAAGAAAAGATTGAACCAAAGAATACTGATAAAGAATTAGTAAAATAATCATAGAATAAGTAATGAATAACCTCTGATTTATTAAGGTTCTTAGTCGTGAACTTTTAAAGGCTGGGAATGTAAGCTTATCACGAAATAAAGGATTCGCTTCAATCAGCTTCTTAAGTTCTACAAGCATGATATTTCGAGCAGATTTTGTATCCCCATATTTAGAAAGCTGCTCATTTTGCCTGATGACAAAATACAAACAGCAAAATTCAGTATAACTCAATCAAGTAGCCATAAAGAGAACAAAGAGAGAGCAAGAGTACACACCTAAAGTTATCAAGAGTAAGCAACTGGGTAATCTCCTTGAAAAGTTCTTCATTAAAGGATGCGAAAACCTTCAAATCCTTTACAAGAATCTCAACAGCCTTTGCTCGATCCTGCCTGGTAGAAGATAAACAATAAATATAAAAGGCATGCATAGATTAATTCAACATTAAGAAAGAACAATTAAAGAAAACCACATAATGAAAGACAATTCTGCCTCGGGCTGAAATATTTCCAAGAGTTCAAGAAAAGCTACCTCCATTATTCTATAAAAGTGCTCCTTTAACATCATTCATTTAGGACTTTAATTACAAATGGCAAGATGCCCATAGTTCACAAGTCCTAGACACTGAAAAGCAAAAGACCAGAAGCAGTAAATTAAGTGCTCACCTATCAAGAGCCTCCAAATACTTCTGCTTCCTAATTTCAAAGAAAATCTTCATTGAGTAACGGTTATCTTCAACCTTAGTGAACCCACATAGATAACGCTCAACTTCATCCCATTCACCAGCCTGGACTTGATCCTCAAAATGCTTCATATTGAAGAAAAAACCAGACTCTTGTTCTAGCCTAAAATTTGAGCAAGCCATCAGAGTGTCACATACAAAAGCAGGCATTAGAAAGGTATATGAGACGCATGCAAAAGCAGGGATTAGAAATCCATTTGAAGTCAATTAACTTAAGCCTACCATAGTGGCTAATTAAAAAAAAAAGAAAGCGGCAAACGTATCAATGTGCTATTTAAAAGCACTGAAAGGTTATCTTCTCGCTTTCCAGAAGTAAAATTAATGCAATTTTAGCTTTGGGATGTTTTAATAAAGCACATTTCTAAAATGCTAATCAAATATCCATTATTGCTAATCATTTGAAACCCAAAAGGCATTAACTACCAGGTCTTATTAGGTAACAGAACATAAAAAACAAATGTTTTTCCCTCTTTCAGCCATAGGCTTAAAAATTCTTTTGCCATCATCCTTCTAAGCTAACTCAACAGTCAAAAGAACAATAATATGAAGCAGTACAGAAAAATGAGGTAAATTAACTTACTTATGAACAGTTTCCATGAATTTTTCCTCATCCAGGAACTGTAATATCAAAAACACCAGCTCCCTACTTAAGGAAGACATCGTCCCGGGTACCCCTAGTCGCTCCAGCTCAAAAATACAATGTTAAACAGAGAAATTAATTTTTCCACTATAACTAACCCAAAATTCTTCTTCCCAAAAACCTTACCACGCCAACAGAATCCAACCATTCAGATAAACTCTAAGAAAAGCCCAGAAAATGCTTGTCCTTCAATTCTCTTCTGCAATTACATTAGCCTTCAAAATATTCATTAAACACTATTTTCACTTGTCCAACTAACAACCTTGAAACCATTCAAAGCTCCAAATCAGTACACCAAAGCCCCATCTGGCCAAAATAACAAAAACCCAAATTCTTACAAAACATAAAAAAAAAAACAAAAACAACCCTTCAAAAACCTCTTTTTGAAGCAAACCCCACCTTCACATAAACCCTAATTTGCTTTCAGCTTAAACAAAAGATCCAACAAACTGAAGCAACAAAATGTGAGAGCTAACTGATGCTTGATTACACTAACAACAGAAAGTCTGAAACCTTAAGCTTACTTGTGAATCCTCGGAGAGAAAGAGAGAAAACCAAAAAAGAGTAAAGTTTTGGCCTTTACTGTATCACCATCAAAGAGCAACAGAGAGAAAAAAAAAAAAAACTAAAAACAATTTCAAGGTTAGGGTTTTTTTTTCCTTTGTTTCAACAACAACCTTTAACTTCTGTCTGAGAAGAAAAAGTTCAACTTTGATTAACTTTCTCTCTCTGTTTTTTTTTTTTTTTTGTAAGATTAGGACAAAAAGTTCAACTTTGATTAACTTTTCTTTTTCTTTGCTGTCTCTGTCTCTCACTCAAATGCAAAAACTTTCTCTCTCTTTATAAAGACGTTTGAGCATTCATTTTTTTTTCTCTCTCTCTCTTTAGAGTGTAAATTAAAAAATATATATATATATATATCTCTTTACCTGCTTTTCTCCCTCTTTGAGTTGTACTATAGTCGATGCTTTTATCACCAAAAGATTAGTTTAATTGATTAAAATTTATTTTTATAATAAAAAAATTTTTAATTTAAATTTTATGATAATTATTTTTTAAAATTATTTTAAATACATAATTTATAATTATTTATTTTAATTATTAAATATGACATATTTTACTTAATACAATAACTAAATAGCTTATATAATGCTCTTTGAAATGCTATTAGGGTTGGCATCGGGTCGGATTCGGGACGGATTTTACTCGTCTCGAATCCGACCCTACTTGAAAATTTTTTTGTTTTTTTATGTCCGAACTTGACTTCGACTCGATACTATATAAATCTTACCCAATTCGATTCTACTCGAAATTAATAAAATATTATTTTTTAAAATATAAATATTTAAAAATATCATTATATAAATATATATATAGAAATAAAAATTAAATAATTAATTAAAAATAATTATTTATATAATATCGAGTCAGGTCAGGTTTGCCTAAAACCCAACCCTAACTATTTTTTAACGTTATCCGACTTAACTTAACTCGAAACCTGAATTTCAAAAAAAAAAATTGATCCCATAAAATTGGATCAGATCAAAATTCGTCGGGACGTATTGAATTGCCGTCCCTAAATGCTATCTAGTAGAATCTACAGTCCAATGGTGAAAACTGAAAAAGATAGGGTGCAGCTGTCCCTATAGTAAAGCCAACATTAACTCTTTCTTTTTCTCCATTTTTTTCAATTTTTTTAATTTTTTATTTAATGTATAATTTATGTTTTTTTATTTTATATTAAATATATAAAATATAAAATTATTATATCATAATTCACATCAATATACTAAATATAAAAATTACATAATGAAATTGTAATTGTAATTTTACAATGGAATGTTTATTTTTGAAATTAATATATTTGATTTAAATTTTAGTAAAACTAAAAATTTGAGACAAATTTACCCAAAATTTATTTAAGTAATAGCAATAACTTTGAAAGACAAAATGGCATTAAAATATGGGAAGTTGCATTCACTTTGAGTCATTCAAGAAAATTTTATTTAATTACGAGATTGAGAATATTTTTCCTTGTATCAAAATAAATGACGGGAGAGAATGAACAATAATTTTTTAAATTGTTGAAGAAAAAAGTACTAATAAGGTATAAAAACATTTTCTAGAGGAAGAAAAATGAGCTAATGTTGTTTACAACTTTTCATTTACATTTTAATTTTTAAATATGATTAAGGTTTCGTTCCACAAACATAGATTCAATGGTTTTCGAGATTAAACTTGGATACATTGTAATTAAAAAATTTATCGTATAAAAATTATTAATCAAATAAACGTAACAAGATAAGTTAAATAATTAATTTGAATTTTTGAAAAATAATTATTTCAAAATGTAATTAAAAGTGAGGAAAGTTTAAAATGATTTTCTAATGCTATATATCAAAAAGATGAAGATTTTCAAATTTATTTATTTCCTCATTGTAGATGGAAAAAAAAAACACTTATTGAACAATAGACGTGTTAGATAGCTTCTTATTAGTTCCTTTCTCTCGTTGAAAAGATTGGCTATAGTGAATCTCATCCCCTTTCTAGAGTAAAAATGATAGATATGATAATTCGTATTTTTATATCATATAAAATATTAAAATTTTATGTATTTAATTTTTATTTTATATAAATATTATATATCATAATTTATATTGATACAAAATATAAAATATATTATTTTTATTTTATTAAAATTATTTATAATTTTTATTAAAATTTTAAATCATATTATATTCGTATTTTTTATTCATATCATATCATCATATTATGTTTAAAATTGTCAAGTCTAACAAACGGCTTAAAACTAAATGTTGATTATAAACTCAAATGGTGCTATTACTTACATATTGAAATCAATTTTATCTTGTAATTTTTTTAATTACTTGTAATTTTATTAAAAAAAAATCATGTTAAACTAAAAAAAAAAAATGGTTAAAGATACTTGAATTCTTTATCGTAAATGGCAATAGTTGGTACTAGGAACTTATATTAGAAGGGTTTAAAGGATTTTTCCTTTTAAGGGAAAAAAATCTTTTCAATGTTTGAACTCAAATGAGTGATCAATTAATCTCAAAAGCTAAACCATCAAAGGCAATGTCTTTTCCAACTTTTGTTAGAGACTTAGGCATGAAAATAAAATTCAAAAATTAAAGAGACAGATGAATATCCATTTATCATTATTTAAGTTTCATTAAATCTTCAAATATAGAAAAGATCTGGATGAAAGTTTAGTTGTTTTACAAGCCAAATATTTCCCTGGGATTTCTTTTCTTCAATCCTAACTTGGAAAGCATCCATACTTAACTTGGAAGAGCATATGGGAATCCAAAGTTGTTTTTCAACAAGGGATATGGTTAGGGCTGAGAAAATGCTAAAAAAATTAATTCAAAATTACAATTTTTTTTTGGTTTAAATCAATTTTTTATATTCAAATTGGTTTAAATTCAGATATTACATATTTTTATTATGTTTGATTCAGTTTTTAGATTAAAAAGTAAAAAATTGAAAATATTTAAATCATATCAAATTATATATTTTTAAATTTTTATAAAATAAAATAATTATCTTAAATCTAAATTTATTTAAATATATTACAAGCTACATAAAAATAATAACAAAAAAATTTTATAGTATGATGAATTAAATAAAATTGATAAAATTCAATTCAAATCAATTTCAAAGAAAAATCAATCCCAATTTAAATCAATTTATAAAAATCCATAATAATATTATTAATTGCACTGTTATCACCTTAATATATCTTGGTGGAGGGTGAGAAATGGTAAGTCTATTCGTATTTTGATATTACATATTACACGTACAAAGGAAAAAAAAAATTTTTAAACCAAAAATCAAATTCTCGTTAATTGATAATTTATATATTTATATTATTTATATCATATTAAATATATATAAATATAAAAATTATTATATATAATTTATATCAATACGTTAAATATAAAATATATATTTTTTATTTTTATTAAATTTTATATATAATTTTTTTTACATTTTTTTACATTATATCATAAGAACATGTTTAAAATTACCTACTATATTGATGGGTACTGTTAGTCACATAATTCAGACAAAATAAGAAAATTTCACAAGGGTATTTATGTCATTTAGGAAAAAATTATGACTCTAATTTTGCCACGACATATTACGTCGTGCTCAGTTACATGTCGCACGCTTTTCCACAAATAATTTTGAAAAAATATATTATTATTAAATATTGTACCAAAAATGTACTAACACTCAGGTTGTCAATCAGTCAATCAGTCTGTCAATGTGCGAATTAGCTGTGCAAACATGCGGTTGATAAGTACGGTTACTTATCAGCTTATTTTTCAACGATCAGTGAGTACTTATCAGCTTCTCAATTTTTGTTTACATTTTGTTTCAAAATTCTTGTACTTTTTTTCGCATTTCAACATTGTTAATTTAATGGTATAAGTACAAATATTCCTTTTAAATAATATTGCTTTTTCATTTTTATTTTTATTTAAAAATAATAAAATAATTTTGTTAATTTAATATAATAAAATATTATTTAATATATCATTATTTAAATTATTTACTAACAAAATTATTATTTGATATAAGAGAAATTTAATAATTTTTAATAATTTATTAATTTTATAAATATTAAATAATTTAAATTTTTATTACATATAATTTTTAATTTAATATCTTTAATAATTATTTTTTTATTATAATTTATTTTACCGTCATCATTATATTTATATTGAAGAATATATCTTATCAATAATTTTAATTTTATTATTATAATAATCAATCTCATTTTTATTTTTATTTTCAATCTCATTATCTATCTAAATGAATTGAGAAAATAATAAAAGAGAGTATCCAAAGTCCATTTACGTGCACATGCATATGATTTTAGGGATAAGATTACAGCGGAATAGATGCCTTGTAGGGCCATAAAAATGCCAAAATGATAGGGGTAAGAAAAAATTGAAAATTAATTTGAAATCATATTATTTGGTACAAAATAATTTTTTTATTCGGTTTTGTTTAAATTTGAATATTAAATTTTTTATTAGGTTTGATTGAAAAGTGAACAAACCAAAAATATTTGAATTGAACTAAATTATATATTTTTATTAATTTATATATATTTTAATTTATTATAAAATAAAAATAATTATTTTATATTTAAAGCTAATTAAATTTACTAGAAATTATATTAAAATAATATAAAAATTAAAAATTAAACTTAAAAAATTGATAAACCAAATAAATAGAATTCGATTTGATTTTAATATAAAATCAATTTGAATATAAACCAAATTTTAAAAATTAATAATATTACATATTATTTAAAAAATCAAATCCAATCCCATTTAATTGAATTCGAACAGTTATTACTCTTACCAAGTGATGTTTTGCTTATCACATCTTAGGAATTTGCATGTGGCAATGGGTCGGGGACGGTCAGCAAAGATGGAACCCTTCGAAATCAGGGCTTGATAGGCAAGGGTTTTGAGCCTATAAGCAGGATATAAATTGGACCATGTTTTTCTGCTAGGGATAGAGCCAGGGCCTTAACTCGGGGCCATAGGAGGTTGCCAAAAAGGGGAATTGTGTTGAGATGGTTGAAGAAAGATTCAAGGAAGATGATCATGAGATTGGTGATGATGAAATCGGTTGCCATTTAAAAAATTTTGATAACCTCTTTTTTTTGTACTCAAATAATTTTTTGCTGCATGATCAAGTCGTCATTTAATAGGATCTTACAGCTTGAGCAGCAGCTTATCAAATTTGAGATGATATGCGCAATAAAAGTATTTAAGGGTCAGGTTGGGTTTGGATTAAGTTTATATTCGATGTTAATAGT